CAGAGCAGATGAGCAGATCTGATCCTCTTCTTCTCGGGTCCCCCTCCAGTGCTTCTGGCCCCTCCCTCCTACCTAGTGCCCCCACAGCAAGCTGCTTGCTATGGGGGCATCTGAGCAGGCTCCATCCTGAGCTGCTGCCCTGTGTGACCATTCAATCCTCATTGGTTCACTGGCTGCTGTCTCAGGGAGCAGGAGAGCCGATGGTGCTCTCGTGCATAACGCTGGGTTGAGATTGAGCTCGGGTAAATATATAAGGGGGGGGTTGCTGTTGTTTTTTTCTTTTACCTTCATGCATGAAGGTAAACAAACCTTGAGCCTTTACAACCGCTTTAGGCAAGGTATTCATATTTATACAATATATTGATTTTATTCAGGTTGCAGTTTGTAAATTCTGTTGATCCGAAAGATTGGGAACTCTATATATGTGGTCAGCTTTAGGGCTCATTCACATGGGCTTTAGAAACTATGTGTACAGCATATACACTCACCGGCCACTTTATTAGGTACACCTTGCTAGTGCCAAGAAAATCTCCCCCACACCATTACACCACCAGTCTAAAACCATTGATACAAGGCAGGATGGATCCTTGCTTTCATGTTGTGTATGCCAAGTTCTGACCCTACCATCTGAATGTCGCAGCAACCAGTCTGCCCATTCTCCTCTGACATCAACAAGGCATTTTCATCCACACAACCAGTGTGGCTAAATGGTTAGCACTTCCGCCTGGCAGTACTGGGGTCGTTGGTTCGAATCCCAGCCACGACACAACCTGCCTGGAGTTTGCATGTTCTCCCTGTGACTGCGTGGGTTTCCTCCGGGTACTCCGGTTTCCTGCCACACTCCAAAGACATGCTGGTAGGTTAATTGGATCCTGTCTAAATTGTCCCTAGTATGTGTATGTATGAATGTGAGTTAGGGACCTTAGATTGTACGCCCCTGGAGGGTTAGGGACTGATGTGAATGTACAATATATATGTAAAGCGCTGTGTAAATTGACGGCGCTATATAAGTACCTGAAATAAAAAAAAAAACACCGCTCACAGGATATTTTCTTTTTTTTTGGACCATTCTTTGTAAACCCTAGAGATGGTTTTGTATGAAAATCGCGACAGATCAGCAGTACCATGTGAACCATTCCATATTCAAAGTTGCTTAAATCCCCTTTTCTTCCCCATTCTGATGCTCGGTTTAAACTTCAGCAAGTCGTCTTCACCACCTCTAGATGTCTTAATGCATTGAGTTGCTGCCATGTGATTGGCTGATTAGCAATTTTTGTTACCAAGCAGTTGGACAGGTGTAACTAATAAAGTGGCCGGTGAGCGTAGCTTTGTATGCTTCTGTACACAACCGCATTAAAGTCTATGGGCCTCATTCACGCAGCTGCGCCTGCAATTGTAATGTGATTTGTTTAGCAATGTTTAACCTCCCTGGTGGTATTCCCGAGTGTAGCTCGGGGTAAAGTTTTATGTACCACAAGCGGTAACCCCGAGCTACACTCGGGCTTACCATGCGGCGCTGCTCCGGGATCTCTCAGTCACTTCCCTTTCCTGTCCTGCGCTCCCGCGATGTCCCTCCTGCAGTGTCCCCTGTAATGTACTCCGGCGGATGCCGGCATCTGTCATCTGGGTTCCGTCCCCTGCGAGCTGGAAATTTGAAAATGACAAAAAGTGACATTCACTAAAATCACATAGTTAACACATTACTGTATCAAACCATTTCACATACATTTTGTCCCGAGTGCTTTGTCCTGTCCCCTGCCTGCATTTTTACTGTTCTTTCTGCCTTGAAACTGAGAAATGTCCATGGCGTCCAAAAAGTGTCCCTTTAGGTCAAAAGCGGTTCTAGACCGGCTAGAGAACAGCGATAGTAAATCAGAACCACTTGCAGAATTGAGTGATAATGATTCGTGGGGGAAATTCGTCATCAGACACTGAAAACGATTCTGCGACTTTGCTCAGCGATGTGCGAACTTGGCGCTCTATTTCACATTTCAGTGTTTTTTGGTTTGATTATATTATTGAATTAAATGTATTATATATTATTTTTTATGATTATTTATTAAATTATAATTTATTATTTCGTGTTTTCAAGTTTTATCCTACCCGGGATGTTTACTAGACTCTTGTTCGGACAGATTTCAGGGAGTTATTCCTAAAAATTACAGGTCTACAATAAAAAAAACTACATATTTCTATGCAAAAAAATGTACCGCTTTGAACACAGAAATATGGACATAATCAGACCGCTAGGGAGGTTAAAAAAGAAAAAAATGACAGCTTTGTCTGTGCCTGTAATTTATATCGTTCTGCTTGTAAACATGTCCACGTCTGTGCAAACGCTTCCATGCATGGACTGTACTGGCCACGCCACTGCTCAGAGCCGTCATGTAAACATTGACAACATCTGCGGTTCCACTGCCGCTGATTGCACACCATGGACGTATACATGAGGCATGCATGCTGCGCATGCGCCAATTTATAAATGTCTTTGGTGAAAATAAATGGGTAATTGGCAGGGGCCACACTGCTGCCCACACATTGTTGGTATTTACATGGTGGCCCTAAGCAGCAGTGCTGGTCTGTAGTATCCATTTGTTTCTCGCAGCATTTTCAGTGTGAATGAGCCCTTAAAATATAACTAAAGGCAAAACTTTTTTTTGTTGTTTTGGATAGAGTGGAGATGGAGTTGAACCCCTGCCAAGTTTTTTTTGCTGTCTGTGTCCCCGTTAGGGAGATTAGCCCTCTCTATTTGTTCTATGTACCAATTTCACCATAAGTGAAAAAAGATCCTAAATTCGGGTTGTCACCAGAACAGGAATAGAGGGGAAATTTTCCAATGAGGAGACTAGTCTGGAGTTCTGGTGACAATGGATTCCCTCACTTTGGAGGGATTTGCTCTCACTTCCTGTTTTTAGCTATGGGACAGGAAGTGAAGGGAAATCTCTCCAATGGGGCACAGAGAGCCAAAAAAAAACTGACGGGTTATAACTCTTCCTCACATTATCTAAACGTAAAAAATTGGATGGGTTGTTTGTTTTTTAGAGAGCTCCTTTTTAGGCTGCGTGCGCAACAATGATTATTTTGTGCTTCTTACAGAAACACACTACAGTCCATGTAACATGGTGTCTTATGGAACACATTCACATCTAGGCTTTTTTTTTTTTTGAGCTACTGTGTTTTTCGAAAGAGTCGGGGACTTTTTTAAACGCAAAAAGCAGTGTTTTTGCTAAAGTGGATTTCAATGGCGAATCGGCTGAAATGCATGGTAGTGCGTTTTTGCCACGTTTTGCTTTTTTATTCTGCTAAACCAAAAAAAAAGTTCTACTTAAAAAAAAAAAAAAATGAACAAATGTGGTAAAAACGCGCATGGAAAACCGCAAAACGGACAAAAAGCAAACTGCATAGGTGTGAACGGAGCCTAAAAGTGGTTCTAAAGCCTGATGGTTTTTTACTTTCATGCATCCTATGTATTATGGGGCAGCACAGTGGTTAAGTGGTTAGCACTTCCGCCTAGTACTAGGGTCGTTGGTTCGAATCCCAACTACGGCACCACCTGCCTGGAGTTTGCATGTTCTCCCTGTGCTTGCGTGGGTTTCCTCCAGGTACTTCGGTTTCCTCCCACACTCCAAAGACATGCTGGTAGGTTAATTGGCTCCTGTCTAAATTGTCCCTAGTATGTGTATGTATGAATGTGAGTTAGGGACCTTAGATTGTACGCCCCTTGAGGGTTAGGGACTGATGTGAATGTACAATATATGTGTAAAGCACTGTGTAAATAGATGGCACTATAGAAGTATCTGAAATAAATAATTTTAACGGGTGTGTAGACTTTTTGTATCCACTGTATAGTCGTGTGATGGTCAGGTCATGGCACAGCGTTGTCTTTTGACAGGTTCCCTTCAACTTGTCACCAGCTTTTTCCTGCATTATGGGGCAGCACAGTGGCTAAGTGGTTAGCACTTCCGCCTAGCACTAGGGTCGTTGGTTCGAATCCCAACCACGGCACCACCTGCCTGGAGTTTGCATGTTCTCCCTGTGCTTGCGTGGGTTTCCTCCAGGTACTCCAGTTTCCTCCCACACTCCAAAGACATGCTGGTAGGTGAATTGGCTCCTGTCTAAATTGTCCCTTAGTATGTGTATGTATGAATGTGAGTTAGGGACCTTAGATTGTACGCCCCTTGAGGGTTAGGGAATGATGTGAATGTAATATATATATGTAAAATGTAAAGCGCTGTGTAAAATTGACGGCGCTATATAAGTACCTGAAATAAATGAAATAAAAAATAAAAACTTCAGTGTGCAGCTCCCCCTTCTGATCAAGCGATGTGCACGAGAGCCGAGGCTTTTCCAGGTCTCTCTCTCTCTCTTCATTGGCTGAGACACAGCTGTCAATCACAGCCAATGAGAAGGGAGTAGGGGGGAAGGCACAGCCATGCTCTGTGTGTCTCAGACACACAGAGGCAGCTCAGGAGCGAGCTTGCACCAGTGTCCCCAGAGCAAGCAGCTTGCTGTGGAGGCACACAGCAGGGGGGAGGGATCTGGAGCTTTGGCATGGGACCCGAGAAGAGGAGTATCCTGGCTGCTTTGTGCAAAACCACTGCACAGAGCAGGTAAGTATGACATGTTTGTTATTAAAAAAAAAAATCTGAACCTTTACAACCACTGCAATGCAATCGGCACCAAAGAACCCCTCTCCAAAAAATATTGATCTTTAGGCAGTGCGTCTCTCTGGACAGTGCTGGGGGATGAGCATTCCATAGTACACATACTTATTGAGGTTAATTTTCGGTTGGGTCATGGATGTCATTACAAGCTGTCAGTGCAGGAGGGCCATTCACCTTGCAGATTACAAATACATTGCTTTATGAATTGTATACAACTATATTCAGTGTGAACATCACTATGCATATGAATAATATTTGCTGTATGAATGGGAGTTCAGCGATTACCTTGTAATAATGGTTGATGTTTGTGTTTGTAGATCTACATGTTCTGAAGCTATGGAGGAACCTGGTGGTCTTTGTGAGGACGGTCCGGTACCCCTGGATGACCAGTCTGTTAGCCCGAGCTGTGATGGCGATTTGGAAACACTAAAGGAACAGCAGCATATTGCAGCAGAAGAAGGGAAACCTCAGGAGGAATTGGTCGGCGACTGCAGGCACTCGTCATCAGAAGAAACCGTTGAAATATGTGAACTTCAGCAGCCGGTCCAGCTGGAGCCAGAGGTTGGAACTGAGCCCCGTGACTCTGACCGTCCAGATTCTGAACAAGTAGCAGCCGTGCCTGAAACCTCACCTAATGAGGAAACGGAAAACGGCATTCCCGAAATTTCTCCGGATAAGGACTCTCCAGATGTGAAGGACGATGTCACAGAGAGCACGGACACAGGGAGTCTGTTTAATACAATCTGCACCAAAGAACTCCTCTCCAAAATCCACCTTCCATTGTCTCAGGAGACTTTACTAGATGAGATTGAATCTGAGCTCCAGTCCACAGAAATGGAGCTCAAGCAGCAAAATGGACTGACAAAAGGTGGGCTGGCACTTAGTGTGCTGGAGCACTGTGTCCAGGAGAAGTATCTTCGGCAGGAGGACACCATCAGGAGGTAAATATCACATGTCCTTGTGCTAACGCTTATAGCTAGCTTTGCTGTGTTTTATTGGGCATGGCAGGTCCAAGGGGGAGGCTGAAGAGGTGGCCACCTTAGGTGCTTCAGCAGGAGTGGACCTGCAACCTATGCTATTAAAGTAGCTTTCAGCTCATTTGGGTGTAGGGGCGCACTTTGGTCTTTCCACCTTGGGTGCTAAATGACATTGTCCTAGCACTGTTTAGGGGGTTGTTGATTTAGGTAAGGTTCACATATATGTGGCCGTGGGGCCACGCTTTGGGTGGGCACGAGAGCCCATTCATTTGAATGGACTCCCGTGCCCTGTGACACGCAGGGAAGAAGTCCCCGCACTTCTGAAAACACAGCCTGCACGGGAACCTCGGTTCCCAGTACGGTTGCGTTTTCCAGTGCGGGCGGCGTGCCATTAGAAATAATGGCACCCGCCCGCGGCTCCGCATTTCTCTGTGCGGGTGGATTTTCGTGCGGATCCACAGCGGCACCACCCACACAGATGTGAACCTAGCCTAACCTTTGGTTCACATATATGCGGCCGTGCGAGCCGCATTTTGCGTAGGCACGAGATCCCATTCATTTGAATGGACTCCCATACCCCGTAACACGCAGAGAAGTCCCTGCACTTCTTCCGAAAACAGCCCGCATGGGAACCTCGGTTCCCAGTACGGTTACGTTTTTCCAGTGCGGGCGGCGTGCCATTAGAATTAATGGCACCAGCCCGCGGGTCCACATTTCCGCAGCGGCATCACCCACACAGATGTGAACCTAGCCTTAAAGTGGCACCGCCCAACATGACGTCCCCTCGCTCAGTGGCCCGTTGGCCGGAAGGAATGCATTACCGACATTGTGATTGCAGCAGCTTTGAGACTAATGATGCATGGCTACTTTTAACTGAATGCGAGCGCAATATTTTCATCTTAAATAAATATTTTGTATAAGTATATAGTGCACTAGGAGTTTTTTTTTATATTTTGTGTGCCCATATTGCCTGAAAGCTAAGTTGGAGCGGAACCGAGGGTGCGAGCATTGTCATATCATCTATCGCGGACCTGTTTGGGGTTAACTCCTAAAGCGCTGCTGGCTTTTCATTAGTTTGAAAGCCTAAAGCAAGCCAAAGTCCTTGGCGTCATTCTGGACTCAAACCTCTCCTTCCAACCGCATGTCAAATCACTTACAAACACATGCAGGCTCCACCTCCGCAATATCGCCAAGATACGCTCCTTCCTTACCCCAGACACCACTAAACTACTCGTACACTCCCTGATTATCTCACGCCTTGACTACTGCAACTCCCTCCTCACCGGCCTACCCCAGTGCAGGCTCTCCCCGCTTCAGACCATCCTGAACTCAGCGGCCAGACTCATCCACCTCACCAACCGCTCCACCTCTGCCACCCCCCTCTGCCTCTCCCTCCACTGGCTCCCTATCGCCCAACGCATCAAATTCAAGCTACTCACTCTGACCTACAAAGCCATTCACAACACTGCCCCTAACTACCTCCCAACCTGTGTCCCAGGTATCACCCTACCCGTACCCTTGCTCTTCACAGGACCTCCTTCTATCTTGCCCCCTGGTCTCCTCCTCCACGCACGTCTGCAAGACTTCTCCAGGTCCTCCCCCATCCTCTGGAACTCACTACCCCAATCCATCAGACTGTCACCTTCCCTCCTCCCCTTCAGGCGCTCCCTGAAAACCCACCTCTTCAGGGAAGCCTACCTCACCCTCACCTAACTGCCGTTCTCCTTCATTCCTCCTACCACTCCATCCCCCACAACCACTTCCTCCTGTACCACTACCCCTCTCCCTCCTAGATTGTAAGCTCGAAAGAGTAGGGCCCTATAACCCCTCGTGTGCTGTTTGTAGTTGCTGTACTGTTTCATGTATTGTCCCCCCCTCTATTGTACAGCGCTGAGCAAACCCTTTGGCGCTATATAAACTCGATGTAATGTAAAGCTTTATGTACACGAACCTACGTTGAACGCCGGCTGCGGGAAAAACACACGTTTTGCCTCATTTTGCGTTTTCCGCATTCAGAAGAGGGAGGGTTATCTTCATCTAAACGTGGCAGCTCCTAAAGTCTGCTAAAAGCTGATGTATACATGGACACACAGGCCTTTATGGAGTTGCGTTTTAGGAGCTTTGGAAAAATAATGCCAGGAGCTCCTAAACTCGATTTTAGGAGCTGCTCGTGTACATGAAGCCTAACGGCTCCGGTAAGAGCTCTGTTCTTCTCACCGGATTTCTGAGGGGTTTCTCCTCCAGCTCTGTAGGATTAGTGGGTGCTTTTCCTTCTGATTTCTGGAAGCACTTTTTGCACATTTTTTGTGGACTTTTAGTATATTTTGAGATCGATTATCAGTTTATATTGGACTTTTACCTTGGTCACTTTTTCTTTTGTATTAATTATTATTATTTTTTTTTTTTTTGATTGGCGCAGCACTTCTGTGTTTTGTTTTGTTGTATAGTATTTGGTGAGGTTCCTCGTATCTGTTTATCTGTGCCAGCAGCTTTTTATTTATCATACACATTATTAGCGCAGAAATACGCTGTATAAATGTATAGAGCTAGTGCCTGCCAGTAGTGGGACCCGTGCAGGAATGAAGTCCTGTAGCTAAGAGGTTAAAGTGGTTTTAAAATCAAAACACTGTAAAACTTTTGGGTATTAAGTGCCATCAATTTCCGCAGCACTTTACATATATATTGTACATTCACATCAGTCCCTAACCCTCAAGGGGCGTACAATCTTAGATCCCTAACTTACATTCATACATACACATACTAGGGACAATTTAGACAGGAGCCAATTCACCTACCAGCATGTCTTTGGAGTGTTGGAGGAAACCGGAGTTCCTGGAGGAAACCCACGCAGGCACAGGTAGAACATGCGAACTCCAGTCAGGAGGTGCCGTGGCTGTGATTCGAACCAACGACCCGAGTACTGCCAGGCGGAAGTGCCAACCACTTAACTGCCCAATATTGCAGCTTACTATTTCTTAGATGTACTTGCAGATTTAAATACACTAACAGTCCCTTCCCCCAGACTGAAATACTACTGTCCAAAGATGCCCCCTGTACTCCTTCATCCAGAGTGCAGGCACTTTAAATACAGGAGGTGTGTTACTGGCCAGATCACCTTGTGAAAACAGAGGGGGGAAAAAAGCCTAAAATGAGAAAACTAATGCAGCCACCACATCTAATGATCACTAAGCTGAAATATGACATTATTGGTTTTGGGTTTAATACTGCTTTAATGCATTCTCTGAATTAAGGTAAACACTCCACTACCTGTTCTACCCCCTCCATCTATAAACACCTGCCTGGCTCCTGTCACTGATCCAGCACTGTCACAGCTGCAGCACCGCTCCTGTTCCCACAGGAGGCACTGAGGGCAGCCATCTGGCTGCTGTTAATCAAACTCCCGTGAGGAAGGAGCAGAGGTGTGGCTTATCCAGCACTGTGTGTCTATGGACGCGCACATCCCAGTTGAGGAGCGCGTGCGCAAGGCTGTCTCCATAGACACCCAGTTTGCGAAGAAGGTACATGGAGGAGGGAGTAGCAGACAATGCCAGCAAGGGACGGCCAGAAGAGGAGGTAAAAGACGTCTCTGTGCAATATTGTTGTACAGAGCAGGGAAGTATAACCATATTATTTTTTATTTGATTAAAAATAAATCATTTTCAGGTGCGCTGCCCCACATGAGCTCTGACCTTACTTCAGCACCATCAGTTGCAGGTCCTGGCCTTCCTACACCTCCCTTCTGCTGAAGTGGACAAAAACAAAGCAAAAAGTGTTGAACTGCAATCCTATACTGCATGTACATTCACCTACATCTCCTTTTCATTTGTTCACAAAAAATTATTATTTCGTTATGAAATTGATGAGCACATCAATTATGTTCCTGACATAAAGTCAAACTGAAAGTGCAGCAGAAATTTGCAGTGTATAGCCAACCACAAATGTACAGAACCACTTAGACTCCAGAGAAAATTTACAATGGATGTTATGAGCAGTAAACAAAAAAAAAAAGCTGACTGTTGTGTTCAGTGTCTCCTGATGGTTCCTGGACCCGAGCAGTAAGGAAGCAGACACAGTGGGGTTTATTTACTAAAGCTGGAGAGTGCAAAATCAGGCTCACTTCTGCATAGGAAGCAATCGGCTTCTAACCTCAGCTTGTTCATTTAAGCTGTGTCAATAAAACCTGGAAGCTGATTGGTTTCTATGCAGAAGTGAGCCTGATTTTGCACTCTCCAGCTTTAGTAAATAAACCCCAGTCAGTCCTGGGTCAGCGCTTTTTTAACTTTAACCACCTCCCGCCCGCCATATAGTAATATGACGGGTGCAAGGTGGTTCTCTCGTTCTGGGAGGACGTCATATGACGTCCTCCCATTCTCACTGCGCATGCACGGCTCAGGGAGCACGCAGTGATCGGCGATGCGCTGTGTCCCTCGGACACAGCGGATCATCGATCACGGAAAGAGCCAAAGATGTCGGTTCGGTCATGTGATTAGCTGTGTCCAATCACAGCTGATCACATGTAAACAGGGAAATGCCGGTTATCGGCATTTCTCTCCTCTCGAGCTGTCACGCTGACAGCTCGAGAGGAGAGGAGAGCCAGTAATCGGCATTCCGCGGAGGGGACATCTACACAGATCATCAGGGCACTGATGATCAGTGTGCCCTGATGATCAGTGTAGCCCCAGCAGTGCCACCTGTCAGTGTCCATCAGTGCCCCATATCAGTGCATATCAATGCCACATTTCAGTGCCCATCTGAGCTGCCTTTCAGTGTCACCCATCAGTGCCAGTCAGTGCCGCCTATCTGTGCCATGTATCAGTGCTGCCTTTCAGTGCCCATCAGTGATGCCTGTCAATGCCCATCAGTGCCACCTACCAGTGTCCATCAGTGCAGCCTATCAGTGCAGCCTCATTAGCGCACATCAGTGAAGGAGAAAAATCACTCATTTACAAAATTTTATAACAAAA